GGGTGCCGGTCATACCGGTGGGCAGGGGGTGCCACAGCGAAAACCCTCCCCCGACAAGAGCGAGACGGGCTGTTGGTTTCTCTCTTTTAATAACGTTATATACAGTGAGAACATCAAGGTGAGGCCAGGGCCGAGCTCCTCTCCCCCAACTCCCTCACTGTGCGAAACTCGACACTTGAAGGAGTACCCTGTACAGCAAGTGCTCCTGAGAGTCCTGAGGAAAAAATACAACATCTTGATTTCGCTCTTCAGCTGAAAATCCCTTTTCTGGCGTCTGCTTTGGATTTCTTCGCCTGGGTTGGTGGTAGAACTGTCCTCACCGAGGTTTCAAACCACTCTGGCACTTTCCTCTTACTAGGGAGTAACCTCTGGAAGAAGAAAATAAGAGTAAGGCGACAATGTACAGGCTTAAATGCACAACTTAACTCCTCTATAATTGTGTTTTTCAGTGGACATCAACTCTAGCAGAAGGCTTATGTCTACCTTAAATGCAACACTTGAACTGAGGGACTAGAATTCAAGACATAGCAACGGGACCCAAAAGAATCCAGCAGCAACTGTCAAGATTTACCACTCCCTGGGCAGTAAAAATGGTTTTGCTACCTTTAAGACAACAGTATGCTGACCTTCTCAATTCACCTTTAAAATTAACACCCAAACACCCTAAACCAACCTCAACTGTCGAGACAATCAATCTAGGTAGTGGGTGTAGCTCTGCTATGTGACCCGGGAAGAAACACATCCTCCAACAGGGGAGGAAAGCAGATGCTTCAAACTGGTGATCTATCGGCCATCCCCACTACTTAAGAAAAAGCGACTTTTTCAGGATGACTTATTTACAGCTGGGAGAAAGGCTGATGTAAGCACTGGAGCAAGAAGTGTGTACACACCACCTGAGCATACATGAAGCACAAGGGGGCCAAGACAACATTACCCTGATCTTCTTTTGTTCCTGTGTGACAATAAAGGATCTTGACTCAGGTTTTGGTAAGTGCTGGAACAACACATCTATCACCATCAACCAGAAAGATGTTATAACGTGCACTTCAAATAAGATAGCTGCTGTGCTAGACCATTAATAACCCTTTTTCTGCATCATATTTTGCACTCACATCAATACACAACTTGAAATTGAGTTGTACAAAAGGTAGTGCACATCAGAGCCACATAAGTTCCTTTAGACAAAAAGGTCTATGTAGTATGCTCATACAATTTTTGCTTTTATGAACAGCAGAGTAAAAATCTTGAATAGGATCAGCATACTATTTCACACAACCCTACACCCAGGAGACAAATGGAGCCAAACATTCTCTTAAGGTGCTTGAGGCACCTGCCACTAGGTGGCTGACAAGATGCACTAGAGAAGAAAAACGGGGCAGCAGGCTGATAATGTGAGAGAGGGGAAATACTCGGGCATAGCAAAGGCAGTTGAAGCCTGCGCACTGTCACTGCATCAAGGATATTAACAGAAGAAGTCGGCTGGGAACCCCAGCAGAAGCTCGGTTATAGTTTGTTAATATGATCAACACCCAAATCATCACATCTGCTCTTGGTGCCATTAGCAATCTCACCTTTGGCTCAGAGTCAGAAGACAGTTCCTCCTCCTGGGGACTTGGGGCACGCCGATGAATCGGTGTGCTGAGCTTCGGGCAACCTGCTGCTCCTCTGCTACCTGGCTGGTTGTCATCTGCACCCTCTGCGGGCTTTCCATGGGACAGCAAAAGAACTAGCTGTTACGTGTGTCATCACAGCACTAAAGCCAGATTCAATGCAAAGGCTGTGTCTTGGAGGTTGTGTTATTTGTTTGGATTTAAGCAAATAAGTCTAATTATATATCAAGTTCAGCATCTCTGCTTAATGCCATCACTATCTATTTGTTAAACATCCGTTTCACCACAGTAAAATTGGGATAAGTGCATCCAATTCAACACTAGGGAACTGGAACTTGTGCTCAGGCATATTTCTGAAATGGATAAGAACACCATTTCCATCCCCAAGGCTCCATCTGGAGTTCATGGCTCTGAATTCAAAATACTTCGAACACCAGTGCTGTTTTCAAACCTGTTTTTACAGCAAAGGTGTCCGTCAAAAATGGTGCAGAGGTATTAACTTCTGATTTCTATACAATGCCTGTCAGTCGGAGGTTGGAACAGCCAAGCCGATATTTTTTGATTAACTACATGCCAGTGTTATTGAGAGTATTGCTAAAAGCGAGGCTATTGCATGCTTCATTAGAGTAAGAACATCTGTTTACCAAAGCTGAAGGCACCACTTGCAGATGGGTTTTCTCTGCTCCTTCTTTCCATGTTGGTTTGATCAAATCACCCTGTAAAAGTAAAGTTGTTAAAATCCAAGAATGTTCATTAGCAGACTTAAAAGCTGCTACAGGGAATTATTAGAATTATCTCCTCCAAGAGAAATGAAGACAAAACTGATTAGCAGTCTACTCATTTGTACAAAATTATTTCGGTTTCTAATAGCATGTCATTTCTGTTATTAGCTCCAGCAGCTAACAGCAGCAGAGAAAAAGTGTAATTAGAGCTCACACAATTGGGACCATCAGGAGTTCAACTTTAAAAGCAAGGGTGAGGCACCGATATTGCAGAAACAAAACAACACTCAGGGATGCAAGGAAATAAATCTAGCAAAATGAAAAGGTTTGAAAACTTGTTTGAGCCACAGTTCAAGAAATCCATCCCAAACCCTGTGGATAAAAGACATGAAATCCTAGTACAGGTAGCAGAAAGATTTAGTCTGGAGTTTTCACTTGCCATTCCTACCAGCAGCCATTCAGTGCTGAGTCGCCTTTTTGTACAAGGTGCTGAACTGGGATCTCGGAGCCACCGAGCAGCCAGCCAAGGGCTTAGAAAACTCACTTGGCCTTTCACAAGCAGCAACAAAAAGATCCTTATTTCCTGCGATTTCTGCCAATGAGTCAGACTTATGGCATGACACTTCACTTATCATGGCTACATCCAGCAGCTTGAGCAACCTACGTAAGACAGTTCTGGCAAGTATTGCCTCTGGCTTCTTCACTTTCAACTGTTTTGCTAATTTTAGAGCTTTCTGCACAGTAAAATAATCACTTTTTCAACATCAGGTTGGTGATCAGCCACCAATACGCGCAAGCACAGCAAGGACTTTGTGGCCATGAAGGATCCAGCTTAGCAAAGGTTTTTGTACTGGGGAGAACTTGAAATTTTTGCTTGTCCCTCCACTGGCCCATCTACTGTAAAATTCAAGATTTTACAACGGACCTTTTGCATCCACATCCTGCAGGGCTGCACAAACAGCAGAAACCATTCACGTCTCCTCTAAGGCCACTTTTAAGGCCAGTTATGATGATCTACAGTGGTGGACCATCATGTGCCTGATCTTCCTAGGCTACATGTCCAGGACTTAGGGGAGCGCTAAGCTCACAGTCCCACATGGGAAAAGATCAACTCGGGTACTGTGTTTAAGAAATGACAGCTGGACAGCAGAAGGGACAGTCCCCCTTGTAAATCAATACTTTGTAAGGGGAACTCTTGGGTTCTGCTCCGAGTATTACTTTCAGAGGAGATGGAGGCAGTCCTACTCAAAGCTGATTGAAAGAATTTGTCAAGATGAGGCACAAAGCACTGCAGGAACCAGCAACAAGGTAGCAGGGCTTTTCACCTGCTCCTACCATCACAAAATGAGTTTTAATCTTTCTTTTACTAACCTCTCTTCTATTCCACAAGGCATCTTCCCTGCTTGGTTGATCTGCTCCTCGTTTTTCCTGCTGCCCATCTGACCACACCAACATCCTTTTGGCACCTGATCCATCCTGTGACTTCTTTCTATTTTTCTCCAATAACGCAATAGTCATCTTGATGAGATACAATTCAATGTTTGCAGGAACAAGTTTTCTAATTGCTTGAATTTTAGTGGTGTCTTGAAAAAACAAATTTCAATATTGTTGCTTAATGATCTTGCCCCTTATTCAGTTTTCTTATATTCTAAAAACCCATCAGTTGTCCCTCATTAAATCATAGGATAGTTTAAATGGAATAGAATTTAATAAGGCACATGAACTTGACTCAGAAGCAGATTGTGAGCTGATGGGATCAATCTCCACCTTATTCATGCTCACACAAACTTACTCTCCACTAATTTCATCTACAGCATCAGAACCACCTAACTTGCATGTCCTTTCAACCATCTTCCCTTAACAAGAAGGCTACATTAGCTGAGGCTGAAAGGCCTCTCTGCACTCTTGACTATAGTGTCATGCCAGCCCTCTGCTCCAGAGTGGCACTAAACTCTTGAGAGCGCCATCTGAGAGTCTGGTTGAACCTCAAACCACTGTCGAGAAAATGCATTAACCTGCAACAGGACAAGAGCATCCAAGCTAGCAGGACTGCCAGCTGTGCCAACTTGAGAATTAAACCACTACGGTGACTGAACTACCAGCCCCTCACAGAACCACATGGTTGTCCTAAGCTCACAATTGTCTCCTTTTACAAGATAATCTTGGAGAAAAAAAAAAAAGCAATCACCCAGGAGTTGCCATGTTTTGTGCTGCCACAGCCACTGGCCTTCCAGAAACGACAGGTTCTAGCTTAAGAAGCAGCTCAGCTGTCAGTTTATTCCCTTCATCTGAATGTCACTGTCACAAGAAGCTTCAGACGAGGGCTGCGATACTCACCCGAGTCAATGGGAGGATTACAGATAACATCAGCAATGATCTGTTGAACTTGAGGAGTCAAACCTGCTCGCTCCAGGTTGACAGGGTAGCCAGCTTTCATCGCCTCTAAGAGGTGAGTGCCAACCTCTGAAAGAGGCAGAGATCTGCTCTCACTTATAGTGCTCTAGAGAAACAAAGGCAGAAGGAATTGAGATGGATGAAGTGTCTGAAATACAACTGGCAGCCTCCTCAGAGAAAAGCTTACCACAGAGAGATTTTTATCTTGGAACAGGACGTATGTGACAGGCTCTGAGGGAGAAAGGGCTCGAGTAGGCTTCCAGGGAGATGCTTCTTTGTGATCTTCAGTTCCCGACGTGAGGAATGTGTCAGTCTAAGTGAGATAGAGAGGACTTAGAAAAATACCCCAGTGACAACCAGTTGAACACCCTCCTATTATTTCAATTTACCTTTAAGAATAACATAGTCGTTAATTGCTATTTAAGTTGGTTTTGACCCTAAGTCCATATTAAAATAGAAAAAACAAAAACCCACCAAGCAACAAAATAACAAAAAGCCCAACAAACCAAAATGAGGCAAAGACAGAATACAGATGAACAGCCACATACTCAAATTTTAGTAAAAGAAATATGGAATTGTTCAAGGGACTTTAAAAAAAGACAACTATAAACAAGTGCCCAGGTCAACACAAATTCTTAGGTGTTGCTCATTACATAAAAAATGATTCCATCAGAATAAAATGTTTTTCAGCCTGCATCTTAGCATGGACAATTCCATTTGCTCATAATGGGTTTATAATAAAAAAGACAACAACAAACAAAATAAAGAAAACCAAAGAAGCCCCACCCAAACCAGCAATACTTCTGGTTCTCTTGCCTATATAATAGCTTTCTCTTAACCAGAACATGACTTGACAGTCTTGAGACATTACAAAAAAAAGAAGTATTGCTGCTCTGTTTCTTAGCCCATATAAATCCAATTAAACTGTAGATTTACATCGACATTAAGATCCCCAAAGCAAAAATACTTTCTAGTTCCTCTAATTCCCTGCTGCACGGCTCCTCTCTACTGCCTGATGGGGAGCCACTCTACAGAATATTACAGACAGAATAAAGTCAACTAGAGGACAACCAGCAGTAAATCTAAGCTCTTCTGCCAGACTCCTAAGATGAAACTCGGACAAATCAAAGCCCTGCTCTTCAAGTCTACTGAGTCGATAAACCACAGTGAAGGAAAACTTACCCTACCTTTAGCCTTCTGCTGCAAGTCACAAGAACTAACTGCAAGCTCTCACTAATGCAGCACCTATTGGACGCTGAGCATGGTCAGAGAGGTGTCTAGGTGGTCAAGATGACCACATCTGGAACATCTGCCAGGTCCCCGTGTCATTTTCTAATAGCACATTCAGATTTGGCAGGTCTAACTGTATGCAAGGCTAGGAAGTTGCACTGCCATGCTTACATGGAATAGCTGTGGAAAGGACAACTTCTACAGGAGAAATCTGACAGCTGCAGAACAAATCACACATTTAAGGCTCTTGCAAAGTAGCAGACACTTCAGTAAGTTATACCTGCAAACCATTCTCTTTGCAGAAGTCCTTAATTTCAGCCAGGAGAGGGATCAACATGGCCGATTTTGCTTCAGGTACACCATCAATTCTCCTCACATTCTCAACAGTGGTAGGCCTAATTTAGGATCAGTAAGAAAAGGTCAGGACAAGTCTTATGCCAATGCTTTAAAACATCAAGGATCTGCAAATGACACACATTTGGACTAAACATCTATTAGTCAAAATTTGCAAGTGTTATTACTGTGCCCTCAGCATCTCAGCAACTAAGTTGACTGTTTGTGCTTCTGACCCACGAAGCTTAACCACAGCAAAACTTTCAAGTGTCATGCTTAATCCTTGGGAGGTTCGCTTCACCGCATAAATGTTCATTTACTTTTTACCTCCCAAAAACATATAAATCCAGAGCTCTTCCACTGAATAACACCACACATTCCAGAAATAGCACTCTAAAATGCATCTCGGTAGCTAGGGAAGGCACTTGAACTGCATTAGCAACTGAGCTGCCCCACAATTGCCTCCCATACAATTAAAATTTTTTTTTCTGCTCTTGGTAGCTGAGAGCAACACTAAGTTGTGCTTATTTTCACACTACAAAGCTACCCATGCAAGGTAAGGGACAGCTCCTGACCTGTAGATGACCCTCAGAAGGAGAAGGCCAAACCAGTACAAACAGATGGGATAGCAGCGGATAGAAAAGCAAGGTTTAGTAGAAAACACAAACCTTGTGCCCCGTGACTGGTCAACCTGACAGGAACTTTGGATACCAACATGGGTAAAGTTTAATTAGGTTTTTTCCATTTGTTTCAAGAATAACCAGCATGAAGAACTAAGTTTAACATCAATTATCTCATTAGCCTGATCCTCAAGAGCTGCTCTGCTACCCACAAGGCGTACTCCCCCAACAAAAGCAGCAAAGAGATTTGTACTCAGCTTGCAACCTTCCCAATCCGTACAGCCCGCACGCACGCTGGCTTTACCTTTTTCGGGCCATCTCCACCAGGACCTTATTGGTTGCCAAGACAGCTGGAGGAACTGACTTCTCATTAGCCACCTTCTGTCTAGAAGCCAGCAACTTGCCATAGAGAGCAGTCTGTGAACAAGAGAGCCAACTTGTCACAAAGCAGCTCTAGATCACTCACGTAGGTAGAATTATTGAGAGAGCAAGCAATAAATCATCTTTCCACTAATGTATGAAAAACCTGTAATCCATTAATCCACCTCAACATGATTTAAATACTCTTCTAGTACTTTGATTCCCGATATTTTTGTCATTAAGAGCTGCCCAAGACAGCTACTCTAACACAGGATTATGCAAGTTGTCTGCCATTGACAGATATCCTCCCTCTTCCAAAACAAACACACAAAAAACCCCCCCCACCTTACCTCTAGTTCTTTTTCTCGGGAAGAAACAACAGGCTCTTGAGGCTTCAAAGGAGAAGACTTTGTGGATGAGTGTCCTGCAAGACTAAAAGAAAATAATTACTAAGTGTGAAACCAGCCCTTTGTTAGATGAATTTATTCAAGAACTCTGCACACGGCTATGGTAGAGCAGCAATCTGTTTTATTTTATGGGGTTTTTTTGCTTCCTCTGACAGCACCATCAGACTACAGTCTGGCACACTGTGCAAGCACTGCAGCCATACAGGACTTAAGCTGGCCAGGGCAGAAGCTGAAGCATCCCTAACATAACAGAATTTCTTTGTGTCTGATCCTGTAATTTAAAAAAAGAGCCTCTTCCTGCATGAAGCTCAAGGAGATGAAACAGTAGTTGGGTGAAAAAAAATCCCAAACCTACCCACTGATATCCCAGGAACAGCTTAATTCCCATATTGTTAACAACAGGTTTTTCCATGTACTTGTCCTTCATGACATGATTCTGACAATATCCTATGAGAGACATCTTACCTCCGCTCCCTCCCCCAGCTGATGACTCTAATCCAGGTCAAAAAGAGCCAATAAATTCAAAAGCATCAGTGACAAGGACACAGCTGCTGTGCTGGAAGCAGAATTTGCTGATGTGAGCTCTAGGCGTGTCTGCTTAGAGAGCAGCACCACAGCTACCAGTCCAGGGGCTGATTTCCTTTAGGACATTAACCCCCAATTAGACTGCTAGGAGCGTAGTGCAGTATCTGTTAGCAGACAAACTGGATTAAAAGCACCCTTTCTCCAGCAAGGTGTGAAATAAGAGGTGTTTGGGATTGCTGTTGCCCCTCAAATGGTTTTCCTTCACATGCCTACAGTGGCTATTATTCAGCTCAAGTGATGCACTGTATTTTTCTGTCACCTGCCAGGACCCGGCTGCTTGTCTGAATGAGGAATCCAACTGCACAGAGACGCAAAGCGGGTTTAGTCTGAAGCACCACAGAAGCCAGGGAAGCAAAGTGCTTAGTTTGCGTTTCGCAGGAGCTCATTTTATTTCTTTTGACCCGAGGGAGCCTCAACTCCATCTCCTCCCAGACTAGTAATACCAACAAGCAAGTTGGTACTTCAGCACTTAAAGCTTGCTTTGCCTGTGACACTACACTTACACACAATTTGTCAAATATAGTAGAGCCATTAAGTGTAGTAACAGTGCCATGTTTTGAAATATAATGCAGTGTATGCGTCGTTACAAGTAGTAGTTGTCCTTTTCCTTTTAATATATCATTTTCACATAGGAAAACACTGTTTGTGAAGTATCATCCTACAAACAGCATCCTTATTAACGCTCTCAAAACCTGTTAACTCTGGATTTCAAATATTGTACCTGTCATGCACGTTACTCCTTCTTGGAGGTGTTTTACCTTTTCTTTCTGGTGACAACATATCATATAGAGTCATCTAAAAAGAACAACACAGATAAATGCCGATTTATCAGCCTTTCCACTCAAGCTGCTGTCAGCAGCAAAATGCTCATTTGTGACACAATTATACACTAGCAAGTTATTTTTTTCATCCCAACAAGGATGAACCACAGAGGGGCAAAGGAGTTGTACTCATACTGACCTGCTTGACTGGTGACTGCGCTGTTCCTTTAGCGTCTGGGGAGCGCTGTGTGGTGAACGCACGTGAAGGTCTACTGCTGTAACAGAATTAATTCTACATTAATCACACCAGACCAAGTCATTTGTACAACGGCACTGCCATTTGGATTGTTTAGCAAAATGCTAAGGTCTTCTTATTTCAACTTGGTAGAGGGATACATTAAGAAATCTAGAAGTTGAATTTTTTTTTCATTATTAGAATCAACCCTTTTTAATGAAAACTATGGAGGATCTGTTCATACTAAAACTTTAACAAAGAAGAGTAATATAGAAGTTGATGTTTTTTCCATTATTAGAATCAACCCTTTTAAATGAAAACTATGTGGGATCTGTTCATACTAAAACTTTAACAAAGAATATGAATGTCTTCTTACAAAACAAAGGTAAACAGGAGACAAAACTGAAATTTTAGTGGCAAATCTTGCAAAACAAAGGTAACAGGAGACAAAACTGAAATTTTAGTGGCAATACTTATAAAAGATGCCATTTTCAAGCTCCCATTACTGGAGAAAAACAGGTATCAATTTTGTGGTTTGTACAAGCATACAACCACTGCTATTGCATATTGCTTAATAAGCTTTTCTTTTCCTTAAGAGCTGCAGACAGTACTGAATCCAACACACAGAACACTGGAATGCAAATTGGCACTTTTTAATTATCCTCTTAATTTATTTTTTAGCAATGCTAAAACAATCTGGACACCAGAACAGGAGTTTTTTTCTAATACTTCTTGTCATATAGTACTGAACCCAACACACAGTAGAACACTGGAATGCAAATTGGCACTTTTTAATTATCCTCTTAATTTATTTTTTAGCAATGCTAAAACAATCTGGACACCAGAACAGGAGTTTTTTTCTAATACTTCTTGTCATATCCATCCCCAGTTGATCATCTTTCACTACCAAAGAGTTGGTCAGAATTAGTGTTTGTGAAGATTTCATCAACACTGTTTACTAAATACAACTAGAAGCTAAAAAACTTCATATGCAATTTCCTTGGAGCTATATACTTGGATACGAAATACCTGACCACAACTCCACTTCCATAGACATGCTCACCATCACAACAGGACACAGTTAAAATTGCCTAAGAAATACAGACAACCTATTACCCATTTCTGTAGAATCAATTCTTGTTACAATAAAAGCTTTTCCCTTTCCCTCTCAGCTTAAATATTGTGAAAAAGTAGGTCAAGTGCATAACTGGAAAAACAAGTTGTTAGCTGCTCTATTTTAAGTCTCACTGTTTAGAAAGAAGATAAATCCTGATTATTTTTTTTCCCCTATTTCTCACCTTTAGCTGATCACTTTCTTCATGAGGATGCACTGCCACAACATGCTCTCTTTCTGACTGGTTTTGGTAGTTTCTCCCAACTACAGTTTCCCACTAGGCACCCCAGCTCCACAAACCATCAGCTCCACGGAAGACCTCACTGATAAGGCATTACCAGACTTTTGCATGGAACAATATGCAACCTGTTCATTCTGGCACTCCCACTGACATTTTTTTCTATTATAACACTACCTAAAGAAAATCTTCAGTTCAATAATCAAGTGCCAAAGCCACCTGTCCAGCCAAGCCACCTTCAGACTCAGGCTTCAGAAACTGATGATTTAAGGTTCAATTAATAAAAAATTAATAAAAGAGTGCTCAAGTTACTCTAATTACCTTTTAGGAGGTCTCTCGAGATAGAGATCTTCGCTGGAATGTAACAGAAGACTAGGACTTGAGGTACCTTGAGCTTTTGACAGCCAGCTTCTACCCTGTAAGAAATAATCTATATGGCTTAGCTATAGATGACTCGGAGAAACTTGCGATAGGCAATTTCACACCAAAATCTACCTTTGGCGTAAGGACACACATGGTTGTAAATCTGTTTCGCTCCGTGGCTTCTTTGAGGAACCCTTCCATTATCAGCTGTCTGCAGAGCGATTTCCACCAGTTCTCCGGCCAGTCTTTGCCAGTACCAAAGAGAGGGTGTGTTCTGTATCTCTCTGGTAAGCGTTGAGAAGTCTGAAATTATTGAAAGAATTGGTCAGACCTCTCCAGTCCCCGGAGAAGAATGTTTCCAATACAACCAGTCAACCAAAAAGACCTGAGATGCAAGCAGCATGTCCTCAAGTACATTCCTCCACAACAAGAGAGCTTCAGAAGAACTTCACAGATAAGTCATGAGCCAAAATAATTTTAATTGAGTTTACATAACACCCATCACAATTACCACACCTACAGCACCTCAACGATGAGTGCATAAATGATGTCTCCTTGTCACCTAAGAGCAGTTTCGCCTCTACTGACCTAATCCATTCATGCACTTTCTGTCAAGGCAGAGACAAGATCATGACTTAATTTTGTAGGAAGACCCCAGACAAAGCTACACCTACATTGCAAAACTGTCAAAATATGGAAGGGATTATTGCAACAATCCAGCCATCAGCATCCTCAAACAAAGCAGTCTTGTGCAGCAAGCACTCAGCCAGTTCAGGCCAATCTTACACTGCTTAAGTTGCAACAGAAGCAGTTATCTGGTCTGTTTTCAACAACAAACAGCCTAAAGAAGTTAAAATAAACTGACAAGTCCTGGTTGAATTCCAGGATGGGGGCACAACGCTAGAATCAAGCTCACTACAGATGTCTGCTCTACTCCTCATATGACCTTCAGAGCAAAGTGGGTTTTCTTTGTTTTAACAAGTGGTTGATTTGCTCACCTCTGAAAAACAGCTCAGACTGGAAAAAAAAAAATATTACTAGCTCCCATTTGCTGGGTTCTCCCCCACCCCTAAACTCAGAGCCTAAAGGAATGTCAAGTAGCTGAAGCCTCTTTCACAAGGCAAGAAAACTTGCCACAAATCTGCCAAGTTCATAACTGGACTGAAATAGCCAAGTAACATGGGATTAAGCATTACAAGCGTCTAAGGAAGATAAGTTTCTGTTGGTTACTAGCATATGAAATAAACGGGAGAACAGTCTTCAGAGCCTCTTATTTGTAGGCTTGCTGAATCCCTCTCCACTGGAGAAACTACATGGTCAAACCAATAATTTTTTTTAATATTTTGGGACGTGCATGTATACACACCAATCCTATTCTCCAGCAAGCGAATGAGTATTTACACTCATCTGCAATTCTGGTTAGATCAAGACATCCCATGCAAGGGGATGGCAGAAGAGCAGGGGAGTGAGAGTGGTGGAAGCTCACCTTTCCCATTTACAGGGTTGGTCATTTACACAGATTTCCCCAATTCCTGTCAGTACTTCTACCAGAATCCCTTCACTGTAGGCACTATGCCAACACAGAGCATTTATCCCCAATAATACAGTTTTCCTTATAAGGGAAAACAGAACAGGCTGATATGGAGGAGAAGCCCATTGAAAGAAATCCAGGACAGGCATCAGCCAGCACACAGTGCTGAGGCTCCATACCCGAGCTCCAGAGATCACAGTAAGGAGTGATCAGGAGAATTACCGAAAACTGAGGACCCACTCTCCTCCACGCAGTCAGAGGAGCGGCAGAAAGCTGGACTTAAAGACTCCAAGAAGGAGGGACTCAACTTGCTGCCACGTGCAACCGGGGCACAAAGCTCCGAGGGTGAACACTATAGAAGCACTCAGGCTGGAAAAGACCCCTGGGATCATTGAGGTCAACCACTAACCCTGCTCTGCAAAGCTCACCTTGAAACCATATCCCCCAACACCACATCTAAATGACCTTTAAACGCAACCAGGGATGGTGACTCAACCACTTGCCCAGGCAGCCTATTCCAATGTTTGACTGCACTTGCTGTCGAAAGTGTTTTTCCCTGTTGCCCCATCTAAACCTACCCTGCTGCAGTTAGAAACCATTCCCTCTTCTTCTATTACCTGCAAGAAGAGGCCAGCACCAACCTCTCTACAAACTCCCTGCAGGTAGTTGTAGAGAATGAGGTCTCCCCTCAGCCTCCTCTTCCTCAAACTCAGTCCCAGCTTCTTCCATTGCTCTTCATAAGATTTATTCTCTAGGCCCTTCACCAGCTTCTTCC